TAACAGTTTGGCATGTTGGATAATAAATAACTTATTAGATGTTTTGTTGTGTAGTATCGCTGAGTATTTTTATTCGTTATTTGTATTTTGACTCACCCTATGGGCTCGTCAAAATATGGCACAACTCGTAAAAATACTCAGCGATACTACACAACAAAACATCAAATAAGATATATATCACCACCTTCCCCCACCTCAGTGATACTCACCCCACTCTAGTGATATACAATAGGATAAATCTATTTTCGTAAATATTTCATCAACCCAAAGGCAATATTCATAATTTTTATTCCATATGGGTAATTTTAATTATCCTTTTTAGGTAACTCATTCATTGTAGAATAAAATAATGAATATTTAGTCTTAATTTGGATATTTTTTGCTCCAGTACAAGAGGCAGATATTATGGAGCTAGAGAAGAGATATTGGACACTAAAGGCTGGAACGAAAACTGGAAAATTTGATCTGGATACGTTCACACCACTAGTGTCACCACCCATTCCAAAGTGTTTATGTGAAGGTTTGTTGAATTCATGACTCTAAATACTTAATATTTAGAACGATATAAAGTCATCTCAGTAATTTATTCTCAGCAAGTCATATTGAATCTTGAGTACTTAACAGTTATTGTGGGTCAATTTTTTTTGTTCCTCCATTGTAATTTTGTATGATTCTGCTTGTCTGTCTGTTTGTTGGTTGTTTTTGTGAGTTTAAGTCATTGGCGAAGTGAGGGCTTGGTAACATGAGAAATAAATTTCAACTGAGGATGCTTTATACCAAGTTAAACAGTAGTGCACAACCAACATTGAGTCACCCAGTTTGAGTGAACAGGATTTATTGGCAATATTTTTATGGTACTTTGAATTTTGTTTGTATTCTAAAATTAGGCATATTTTTTCCTGGAGGGGTAATTGAGGATATTGCTGTAAGCTTTCAGGAAAGTGTATTCTAGTGTACTTCATAAATTCCTCTCAAAATTTGGCTTGGAACACCTTTCTATGCATCCCCAAGAATTTCTTGTAGCATTCCACTCATCCATATTGTATAGAAAGTTCATATTGTGGAAGTCTGATATCATTTGCATCCTTTTAGAAGTTCTTAGAAATAGTGTGGAACTCAGTGTAACTGTTTTTGTAACAATTTCATCCTAGGATTGTTTAATGCTTTTGATGAAAATCAAGATGGCCACATTGATTTTCGTGAACTAGCTTGTGGAATTTCAAAATGTTGCAGGGGATCCAATGCTGAGAGGCAAAAATGTAAGTAACTTATGAGACTGTGAAATTATTTCATGTACAATTTCTTGACTGAAAGATCATTTAGAACTCAAAGTGAAACCATCTGGTGACTTACTGGAAGTTGTTTAATTCATGTTGTCATGACTATGAGACAAAAATAATATCTGAGTTACAGATGGTGATTTAAAACTTAGAGCTAAATGATTGCTAGTGGAATGATCTACTTCTGAGCTACAGAGACCTTGTTGAAATGTAAGTGAATAATGAAGATCACATACATCATACATCCTCTTACTAGTTGGTATCTTCTTGTCTGATGGTAACTTGATTTTTTTAACCAAGACTTCAAGGCTCCTTTAACTAAAGTATTTTTGTTCATTAGTCTGTTTTAGGGTATTTGATACTGATGAAGATGGCTTTTTGTCAAGAAGTGAAATTGAAGTAATGTGTAGAGGTCTAATTGAGATCAGAAAGGAAAGTGCTGGAGAAAAGGTATTACAAATGAGACTAACAGATTATTGAATTGCTCAGTGTAATACTTTTGCTAAAATTTTAAATGTTCTTTGTTGTGGGACTTTTAGGATACAAGTGCCATCTGGGACAAGGATGTGTCTTTGATGGCAATTGAAATCTTGAGTGATTGCAGCAAAGATGAGGTAAAGTGATTCTGTTTCAAGTATGTGAGCCACCAGCAAGATTGTTGTAAGTACATCAGCTTCACATGTTGACTTGATCTGATCCAAAAAGTCAGTAATTAACATTTGAGTGAAGGTACAAGATAGTTCACCAGGTTTTTTATTAGGAATTCTTTCATCCTTTGGCGTAAGATTTCCTCGGCCTCCATACGTACATTTCTAGCTTAATTTGAAGGCCTGACTTTTTTCTAAAGGATGTGGAGCTTTTTCATGCTTTTTTTTGTCTATTTACACTATTTTCCTGCGAGAACATTTGCAGATCAAAAACTCTTTTTGACTCAACATAATTGGTATTTCTATTGATGTTGTGTTGTTTTACAAGATACATTTACTTTGCATTTATTGTACTGTAAGTAACTGAAGTTATTTTTAGTTGGGAAAAAAAAACCTAATTATGATTGGTTGAACTGTGTATTTTTATTGGTGAATTGGTGAATTTTGTTAATCCTGCTTCATATGATGGATATATCTGAGACTAACACAAAGTTTATGTGATGCTTAGGATGGTGAAATTAGCTTAGAAGAGTACAAGGAATGGGCATCAACACATAGATTTTCTCAACTGTTTCCCAAGTTGTTGGTCCAGGTCAGTTATGTTTATAGAATTATTATTTGTTATTTTAACTTCTTGAATGTTAAGGTTTGGTTGCCCAAGATCTTATGGTATATTGATTCTTATAACAGAAGCCTCTTTGTGAAAGTTGACTCCCCCAACTATTGAATTTGCATGTTACATTTTGTAGGTCTGTCACATTGTTTTGGGACTTAGACCAATTACAAGAGAAGTAGAACTTCAAGTTGTGAGGTTTGTTGAAACTTTTCAGTCTTGGGCTACTGGTTTGAGATGAAAATGTTTTTCTGCTTTTTTACATGGCTTGCCTGAATAATTTGGTTCTTCAAAATTGTTATCCTTGATACTGGCAATTCAAGGGTTTTTTATTCTTTTTACAGAGGTTGGCTTGAGCGCGAGTACCAGCATGACCTCAGTCCTGGTACCATTTGGTATCTTGTAGCTATTTCTTGGTGGCGCATCTGGAAAGAGTATGTCAGTTATCAGGTTTGTTGTTGTATTCTGTAAATTATACCTGACTAATAATACAATCAAAGATCTCTTAATAAAGACTTGTGAGCAGACAACTTGATGAAGGCCACCTTATCAAAATCCCATGCGCTGAAATTATATGTTCTCAAATTATCATCTGGTTCTGGCTTCTGAAATTATCTTTTGTAAACATTCCTGTGTTCAGTCTACCCACATTCCATTTCTTTTTTTTTTTTCTAGAGGAGTCCTTCTCCGGTAGTGTAGTTAAAACTTCAAACAACCATCCAAATGGTCAGCTTGTTCTTCAGAATCTTAGGTTGGATTAAGTGCTATTTGATATCTGCATACTACTTTTATTGCAATTTTATAGCCTTATATCAGACGGTCATCCACGGGGAATCTTCATAAGAATGGTACATTGCCAACAAGAATAAACCAAGTTTATAATTCCTCCTCTGGCAACCAAGGACAAGCTTGGACTGGTGACTCTGTTTTAAAAACCAGATCGTTGGGACGACGCGAATCTCATCCAATGTACAACCAGGGTAGTAAGGCAGTTAGTCCAACTGGAACCATGAATGGTCACTGTTCACAGGGAACAGTAGCATTGGCTACACAAGCACCCGGTCCTGTTGATAATGTACCACTTGTAGAACCTGAGACAAGAAAGGTGAGCTCTGACAGCTCTTATTTGATAAAGTAAACTTTTTTTTCCTTTTAAAATTAAGCCATGCACATGATAAGGTCATGAGTTGTTTATGTAAGATACACACGTAGCATCATCTGAATGAACTGTTTTAAGGTGCTTAACTGTCATATGTTGAGAAAAGCTAGTGATTCAGGAACCTAATAAGGAAAAATCTTGCTAATAAAATATTGTAATAAATATGTTGAATTTAACTGGTAAGCCGCTGATCAAAGTAATGTGCAGAAACCATAATAAATATACTGTTCTTAACAGGTGTCAATGAATTGGGTTGTGGATGCCAGTGTAATAATTAATCCAAAGAATGATTTAGTTACAAGTGTACATCTGTTACTTTAGGTTATGATTTTAACTGGTGAAGGAGGAAAGTTGAAGCGTAACATCCCTTTATGCAGAGGAAGGGACTTCGAGATCATACCAGAGCCTGTATGGAGAGCTCTTCAGCAGTGGTATGGGGGTGGACCAGCCCTTCCAAGAACGGTAACACTATTGTTACTAATTAAAAATTGTATCATTAATTGTCTGTCTACTTGATTGTAGTGTCGACACAGTAATTCTACTCATTGGGTACTACATCAATTGTCTACTTCATTTATTTGTGATTAAGGTTGTGCAATTGTAAGAGACTCGTATCAGTGTCAGTGACCAACATGAAAGCCAATGCTATTTTGGTCACTGAGCACATTTTATCTTGGCTGCGTAGTGTAATATTTTTTTTTCACTTTAATTGATGGAATTTTTTCCTTTTGTATACACTGTTGATGTTATAAATTTTGTAAATAGTGCATAACAATAAACTGTATCTTCCTGAGTTTTTTAATGCATAACTTTGTGTCCTTTTTCTTGGTATACTTAAATAATTTGTGATCCCACAAACTTGCACATTGGTACTGCATTCTGCCTCATGTTAACTTGAGTGCTTTGTTATTACTTGTCAAAAATGAGGAGAAATGTCAACAGAGTTGTGTTACACTAAAGGAGTAAAATATTTTATTTGGTTTGTTTTGTTTTGTTGTTTTTTTTGTGGGGGGGTAGTTGTAGAGTATGTCAAGGATCAGTTATGGATAATGTGCTCATTTTTTACAACTAGGTCATTAATGGTTTGCGTATTGAACAGGTCATCACTCCTACAAATGGTGATCCAACCCCAGAATTAGAGCTCTATCCAATTAGTCTGCGACTGTTTCGACATGCCCCTCCCCCCACAAGAGGGGGAATTACAACATGGACTGGAGTTGGATTTGGACTAAGTACCTTTGGGTTTGGTGCCAGTTCACTTACCACCCCTCATGCCCCACCCAAAAGGTACCTTGCATATGTGGCATCTTTTAGTCGGATGAACACATTACAACAGGTTAGTTGAATGGGAAGTAATGTTATTTTCTGTAGTTTATGTAAGTGATACTTCGTTGTTGATGTCAAAGGCACTGAACAGAGTAAGTTCTTAGGCATTGTCTCACTCTTGGCTATTCTGCTCTGGATCGATTGATGTATGGAGGATTTTCTGGCCGTAAAGAAAATTTATTTGCATGTGTGTATCATTTCCATTCTAGATTATTTTGCATGTTTTACACTTCTATGTCACTAATCTATTACACGCCACTTGTGTTACTGCCATGCACCTGTAGATTATACGATTTAATATTTGTTACTTTCAGGTTTACGACTATCTCTGTGCACGGCTCAGACTCCGTATAGAAGACATGAGACTCTGGAGTTTGGAAGATGAGGTATTTATGTAGTGGAATTGTTGATCAACAAACTGAATGACCAAACAATTGTTTCATTTACTTATGAAATTACTGTCCGCTTGACTGTTTAACTTGTTATGCAGTTAACATCTGTGAGAAATTGCCTTGTCTTGGCAAATTAGAGAGATTCAGTTTCTCATGGCAGATTATATTCTGTCAATTTAAGTGAAAAATACATCATTATAGGAAAAAGAAAAACAACATTGTCATTAACATGAAAGTAAGTCAGTGAATGTTTTGTTAGAATTACATGGTCATTTGAATCCAGAATGTCAGGACCCACTTTATAATTTGAACAGTGCTAATTTGAATTAATTTTATAAGCTTTTTTTCTGTTTTGAGTCAGTTGAATTCACCAATGTAATTTACTTTATTGTTTGCACAGAATAAACTACGGCTTTTAGAAGAAGACAGTTCTTCCCTGGAGAAGTTAGGAATCACTGACAACCATGCTGTTCTTATTGAAGGTGTGTACTTTAGGCCAAAGTTGAACATCCTGCGATCATGTGTGCCATACTCTCTGTTCCTTTCCCACACAACCTACAAGTGGTGGTGTTTGCAGGGGTGGTACCAATCTTATAATAGGATTATACCTTTGTTGGTAGCATCTGCTCATATAGCTCCATCATACCCACAATCGTATGAGTCAGCACACGTTGCCAGGTCGTCATCCACACAAAACATTCTTGTCTACTCAAGTCTTCATCATACCATCTGGAAGTTAAAAGCTTTCCCTGCCACCTCTCTCCTCTGATTTTTTCGGTGTACTGACCTCTAACTCTCTGCTTTAACTTATCCTTAATCTTCTCCTTCAACACTTCCTTGTCTTCCTCATCATACAGCTTCCGATAGGGGTACAACAAATTCAGAGAGACCCCCAATTCTTCAGCAAATTTCCCTGCCTCTTTCAGGAGTGACCTTTGCCCTTTAACAGCAGCTTGTTCTTCAAAAGCGTGCACTAGACCCATGATGGGATCTTCATTTCTGTATAACTTAACAGCTGACTTAATTTTAGTCTGCTTGTATTTAGCCTCCACTGACTTAACACCACCACCCCCCCCCCTTCCCCCCAGGGTGTCTAGGGAGATACAAGAGTGCGGTTGACCCAAGTGGGTGCTTCCTGCCATTCTCGCAGATGATTTTATGGAGATTCCCTGTTGATGTTACGAAGGTCAGTTACACATCATTGCTGAGACCACATGGGATATGACAACACCGGCAATGCAAGCTGGTTGGTAGCCGTGACTTTGTTCTTATCCGAGAGGGGTTAGACCAAATAACTGATAACCTCTGTGAGTAAGCACCAGCTGCAATGTCTAGAGCTAGTTTCTCCTCCTGTAATGGGCGCTCCAGTATTCCCAAGAAGCAATGCTGTGCATCTTCTTTCAAACAGTTGATTGCAGCCTGACCATCAGTGAACCCATTTGAGGTCTCAGACACTACTCTGCGCTGTGCGTGCAAGACATTGCACTTTTTTGGGTTCCACTAAAGTCCTACATTTTCCATCACTGTTTTCGCCATCTTCAGCACCCTGTTCAGCTTTCCTTCAGACGTTGTGAACACCTTAAGATCATCGACATAGGGGAGATTGGTGACCTTGGATGCAATAGGCTTTGAAAGCCTATACCCTTCAGCGGAGCGTAACTTCATGCAACAGGGTTAATGCTTAGAGTAAACAGGCGCAGACATAGTGCATCCCCCTGTGGGAGGCCTCTGTTGAACCATATGGGTGGTGACAGTTCGTTTCCCTTCATGGTGTGTGCTGCAATCTTTGTGTTCCAGCTATCACATAGCTTACTGACAACCTGACAAATCCATTTCGGAAACTTGTGGAGCCACATGATCTTCCTCAACCAATCATGGTCAATACAGTCATATGCCTTGTGCACATCTATCCATGCAACACTGAGGTTACGCTTGTTTCAATGACAGTCCAACGTAACCATACGATATCATAAGATTATCATTTATTCCACTACATTTCTCTTTTGCTCCTCTCTGGCTCTTTTCCATTAGCTCATACTTGTCCACATGTTCATCCATAGGACCCAAGACACATGGGGTGAACCACATGTATGATGTATTGAGGCATGTAGTAGGGCACTGATTTTCACTTGTAAACTCGCCTGGCTTCGGTAACAGACTGGTCTTTCCCTCTGTAAACCATTCAGGGTGTGTTGTTAAGGTATCTGCAACCACTTTAAACTCAGATACCATGCCTTCATGTAGTGAGTATGCACATTTCCACCAATAGTTTACTACCCTATCCGGACCTGGTGCACTCCAATTCTTCTTTTTCATTATGACCTTAACAGCTTCCACCTTTGTTAGGCCCCAAGCCTCTTTCACTAAATGCAATCTCTACTTCCTCAAGCCACTCAGCATTTTCGTCTCCAGACCTATTCTCTTCCCATAATGCTCTCCAAAACCCTTCGGCTTCATTAATGTCACTAAACATGCCCTTATTTACTCTATCCTGGTTTTCACATTCCTTCTTGTATTTTGGTCAAGCATTGTCTGGGTCTTCTGCGGCAATCTTTGTGATGGTTGTATGTATGCAGCCAGGGTCTTCTGTAAACTTGCAGTTTAGTTGTTTGGCTTCCTCTTGCCTTTTCCTTCTACCAAAACTAGCCTTTAATTTTTGAAGCACTGACTTCTGCCTCTCAATATAGCTCACAAGGGATGATGCTGACGACAAACCACATTCTTTTTGCAAAAGAGCACGGTTTTTCTTTCCCTTTTTGGTCAACTTCCAGTTTTTCTTTAGCCTCTCCAACTCTGCTGTTGCTTTAGAAATCTTTTTTCTCCCATCTCTGACACTGAATAAGCACTTTTCCAATTCTCACTACCCCGAATTTCCTTTGTCTCTTTGTCCTTTGTGTTCTTTTTCCATCCTTTCAACACAAGAAATGCCGCTACTAGAGAGTACAGAATACAGTTAGCAAGCCATATATACATGAACAGATTGTCCATAGGTGTCACTTTTTCCTGCTCCATTAGCACAGTGATCACATTATTGGTGGACTTTAGGTCGCTTTTAGTTGGCTTTTGTTTTATGCGTGTATCTATGGTCCAGTTTGAATATTCACCCGCACGCATGTCCACTAAAGCGAGTAACAGTGACGATTGTTCCAACAGCTCCCATTGGGAATCATTCAAGGTGTTAATCATCTCTTCAGGCTGATCTTGTGTATGCAAATTTGCAGGCTCTTCTCATCGCGGCTCACTAACTTCAGTCCTGTTTTCTAGCAAATTAGCATTTTATATCTCAGCAGTGATACATACATACATACATACTTTATTGACTTTCCCCAAGGGGCTTTTCAAAGACAATGTTATAAAAATAATCCTATTACAATTAAAAAATCCTATTTACAATTGAAGATGTTTTAAAATCTGAATGTTCTAAAAGAAAAATAAAAGTATACAGTCAAATATACAAATAAAATTACAACTCTTTGAGTAATTTGGTCCTTAAACATTTTTTAAAAACATTAATGGAGTTGCACAGTTTAGAGGAATTATCCAAAGAGTTCCATAAGTTTACAGTTCTATAGAAAAATGTTCTCTGACCGCTAGCTGTTCTAAAGAATGGAATTTGCAAAAGCTGCAAATTTCTGGTGCTACATCAACTAACCTCGGCTCGCTTTATGAATTTTGATGAGAGGTAATCTGGAGCCTGACCAGTCATGCATCTAAAGGCCATAGTAGCGTTCCGGTAGTAAAGCTGGCTTTGAACTGAAAGCCAATTTAGTTCCTTGCGAATTGGTGTAACGTGGTCAAATTTACGCGCACCGCTAACAATGCGGCATGCGAAGTTCTGCACCGCCTGTAACTTGTTAACATTACATTTTGAGGTATTTGACCAAACATTGGAACAATAAAATAACCTGCTGAAAACTAAGGAATTAATAATCATGGCAAGCGTTGGCTGGTGGCTTGTTCGCATGAGTTTTTTACGGAGAAAAACATAACAAGAAACACTTAAGTTATATTTGTGCTCTTCACTGGCCCGGCGAAAAAGGTCCAACAGCCGAATTTCCCGATCCACTGAAGGCAAATCTTAGACCAGCGCAAGTAAGTTGAGCACATGCTCCTAAGAGGAAAGCACCGAAAGAAAGAGAAAATTCAGCGTCAAAGAAACAGAAATTATTCAATGACAACTGCACGAACATTAATTACATAAACTACATGAACTGGCATTTAATAGAAACACAACCAGTATTTAGCGCAATATACAAAAATCCGCCGCTCGTATCTTACAAAAGAGGGCGATCGCTCAAAGACATACTCGTGAGGGCCAAACTTTGAACAGGCTATTCTAAACACTCGCTAGGGAGTCGTGTAGGCCTGTCAACCCCCTTTTTACATTGTATGCATCAGAATTTTCTTGAAGAACTTTGGCAGCAAACCATTTTCCATGATCGATTGCCGGATCAAGGGTGTGATAATTCCCGCATCTCACACAGTCTGTACAAGATCTTCTCGTTTACCGCTTAATTTTAAGCCCATACATTTTAACCACCGTTTTAGCTGGTCTGCAGTGTATTCTTCCGGTTCTCTTTCAAATTTGGAGCCAGGAACGCTGTCCTCGTCGGTCAGAACTGTAAGGGAATAAGCGAACTACTCGCCATTTCCCTTGGAGCTCTCAAAGAAGTAGAGTTTGTTTGTCTGAGTCACGCGGGGGGTCTAAAATCTCATGACGTCATTAGTATAAAGCGCTATTGGTTGTTGGAACACCATTCTCCTATTTTAAACAAGTCTTCCAAATCAGCAATTGCATCCAGGTTGCCTTTAAGTTCGAAGGAAGTGATGAGTTTTGTATCATCTACATAACTCTGAGTGCTGCATTTCTGTGGGATCGATGGAAGATCGTTCGTATATATGCTAAATAGTAGTGGGCCTAAGATGCTTCCTTGAGGGACGTCGTTGATCACAGACAAAGGCTCAGATAGCATTGAATGGATTCGTACTACTTGTGTCCTGTTGCTTAGGTAACTATGAAACCATTGGAGAGCGTCACTGGAAATTCCAACATCTTGCAATTTTAAAATTAACGTGTCGTGATTGATGCTATTGAAGGCTTTGCTCATATCTAATAGAACAACTGCCGTTAACTTCTTTTTGTCAATGGCGTTAAGAATTGTGTCAGTTGTTTCAATCACAGATGTTTTGCATGAATGCCATCTCTTGTTACCGCTTTGGCTCTTTGATAGGGTGTCATTCAATTGCAGATACGAGGTGAGCTGATTATGTACTACCTTTTCGCAAACCTTTGATAAGACTGGTATAAGTGAGATGGGTCTATTATTGTTTGCCTGTTCCTGGTCGCCCTCTTTTGGGATTGGTGTAACCACAGCTGTTTTCCATTTTGATGGAAAAACACAGTTTTGAAAGGATGCATTAACAATAGACGTTATTGGATGAACCATTGGATTAAGACAATCCTTGATGATACAAATCGGGATTTTGTCTATCCCTGGGGCCTTGTTTGAAGGCATCGCTGCTATTATACATTCTATTTGTTTATAATCAGTGGTATTCAGTGTGAACTGGTCAGAGAGAGCATATTGGAGAGAGCGTATGGATTAGGTTGCATTCATTAGCCAGGGACGTAATTTTGTCAGCAGTCCTCTGACCAACAGATAGGAAAAGCTGATTAAATTCGTCTGCAACAGCTTTGTCGCTCTTACTGTATGTTCGCTGAGATGTAGATTTACTGGAGATCCACCAGCGAATTGCTTTCCAGATATTATTGGTGTTATTTGGATTCCTCTGGGTTTGTTCGGCAACAAATTCATGTTCAGCAATTCTGATTTCCCTCTTTACTTCCTGTCTGAAATATCTGTAGGTAGTCCAAGATAGCGGATCATTTGTTTTCTTTGCTTTCTTACGCCAATCATCCCTGATCTTCATCAATCCGCGGATGTTGTCTGTTACGTATGGATTTGGTTTACAGCGTGCTTTAAAGGTTTTAACTGGAGCATGGCGGTCGAGTATCTCAGTAAATAGCGAATCAAGTGCATAAAGTTTGTGCTCGACATCGTCGAAAACATCAACTTTGTACCATGGTGCCAGTGATATGTCATTGCTGAAATCAACAGGACTGTAGTGTTTAAAACTTCTGGTTGTAATATAGATGGGTTTGGAGCGCACCTTCTTCAATTTTAAGGTGACATAAACCAAGTCATGGTCTCTAATAGAGCTTTCCATAACTGTGGCTGTTTGAACTTGTCTTGTGTCCGATGCAAGGAAAACATCTAGAATTGATTTCAAAGTCTCTGTAACTCGTGTTGGCGTGTTGATCAATATTGACAAGTTATAGGAATGGCAGAAATTAACAAGGGCATTAGCTCCAGGATCGTTGCTATTCTCAAGTCTGCAGTTCAAATCTCCCAATAGATAAATTGGAACATTGAACGGCGAGGCATAAATAAAGTTCTCTGTGAGATCTGAATCGAAACAAGATAACGATGTGTCCGGTGGTCTATAGGTTGTACAGACAATGAAAGACTTCATGTTCCTGACGAGGACTTTTAGCCACAGTTGGTGAAAGCCAGAGGCCGTGATAAGAGATATATCACTCAAGTACTCCGTCCTGTAATTTCGTGAGACATAAGCACCAACTCCACCGCCAATCTGCACCTGTCGGTCGATATGGTAGATAACATAGCCAGGAATTTCTATTTCCAAATCTGTAACTGAACTGTTGAGCCATGTTTCGGATATGGTAAATATGTCAAACTTATTTTCCAGCACCGCTTCCTTTACAAGAACGAAATGCTCATGGCATTTAAGCGAGCGAACGTTAAGATGTGCAACCTTCACATTGCCATTTGACATTTTAGACTTGTTTCTAATAGAGCTGTTTGCTGGTCCAGGGGTAAGTTCAACATCCTGTAACAGTTGTATAACAGGGCTAAAAGTCGAGGTTGAATTGGCATAATAGGCTGTAGTAACGTTTGCTCGTTTCACTCTAATAGTGACATGCATGTGTGCCCGCCATTTTGTACAGAGTCTCAAATCCCAGTTTGCCACTTTAACCGACGTAGAGTGTGGGAAACGTAGACCAAAGTACTCATTGGTAAAAGATTAGTCTAGTTTATCTTTCCTCAAGGTATGAACAAGACACAAGAGGAGTACAAGTCCAATAACTTGGGAGCTCAGAATCACACATCCGCCCTCCATTATGATACAATTACAGTGATGTCATCATGATTTAAATCTTGTAGTAAACTCGGTTCACTTTGCACTGGCTCTCCTCATCCAATCCCTGCATGCGCCATATCTACAACACTAACAAGAGACCTCTCGAGTCTGGCGGCCTGATCCCTTAAATTCTGTTTGGTCAGAGCCAAATTACCATATCCCTTCTCTATCCACTGAGCTTGCATCGCTTGCATATAACCCATCTTTCTCCCACTTTCCAACCGTGGTGGGTTGTCCGACTTCACCAATTCCAAGGCAGTCTTTTTGCACTCCATCAAATCGCTGTTCATCTGTTCACTCTACTGCAACCTTCCATTTGCCTGGTGTTGTAGTCATCCTTCTGCCATAATAAAACAACTCACAAATCCAACAAAATTGAATGTAGCTAACAATTCCCATCCAGAGACACCTCACAGTCTCGCAAAACAGCTCAACACACAGCAAAGTATCCTAATCACTTCTCACAATATGCTTTGGCGCTCTGAACTTGGGTTGCTTTCGAAAGGAGCTGACTTTAACAGATAACCTTAAAGCACGTCCACACTACTTGTCACCATTATTATTATGGCAGTACATACACATCTGGGTGCCAATCCTACTCACTCAGGCTAGGTGTTGACGGTTGTAATGTTCAGGAGTTTGCTTATACAGTTAGCTTACAGCTCGCTTAGTTTGTTCGATTTCCTAGATTTTCTGACATCCCGTTCTCACTTTACAGTGCATAATAAATACTCGAGTCTATGTCTCCTGGGGCCTTGGGCGTGGACTTGGAGGCCTGGACACTACAACTGTGGCCAGCCTCAAGTCTTATTTACATACTAAAATTACATGAAATTGCTAATCTACTTTAAAAGGAAAAAGTCACAAAATTAATAATTTAAATAAATAATGTATCATAAAAACCTGTATGAGTCTTTAAGTAGCTCTTTGGCGGGCATGTGCGAGAGTTCTAAGCTAACTAAGAAGCTTAAAGGTTCTAGCGATGTTCAGACTGGCGCTGAGGACAGCTTTCTGCAACTGACGAAGGACTTCTCTCCCTCTCTTTGCACCTAACAATTCTCTAACAGTCCTTCCAACATTCTTAGAGTATCCCCCTGAGACATCTACAATTTTGTTGACTTGACGTATCTCGATTCCAGGGTATTGCTGTTTAAGCTCCCAGTGTAGAGCAGCATACTTTTACTATTATTACTGTTACTATTACTATTATAGTTCGAAACAGAGATATGAGTTGGCCAGAAGAAATGTCCTCCCTAGCGAACAACAGGAGTCTCAGGGAGAAACTCAATTTAGGTAAGTATTAACATGCAGTTGAAAATAGTCTCAAAAAGATCAATGTTACATTTAAGAGGTTTCTTAAGTTTTCAATTTTTTGACAAATGGTTGTCAATATTGGAATAGTTGACTTTAGCCAGAAAGAGTTTTTACAGATGTTGTAAATAAACTGTGAGAAGGTGGCATTATAGGTGTTGGCATTATGATACATGTTGTGAATTTTGGTTGATTTCCTGCTACCATGAACAGCAGTGGGTGTTTTTATTTGGGCTGTGTACGTTGTGAAGGAGCAGCTTTGGTGAGCACTAAATCTGTTTTGACATTTATCCCGTTAGAACCCACAGAAAAAGGAGCCACAGGCCTCAGTAACTTGGGCAACACATGCTTTATGAACTCTGCACTGCAGTGTCTCAGTAATACCCAGCCCCTGACACAGTACTTCACTACTAAGTGCCACTTATATGAACTAAATAGGTATGTACCTTCCTAAAGAACCCAAGAAAACAATTTTAACCCCATATGTTAGCTTTTCTCACAAGAGACAAACCTTTAGGCAGGAGGGTGTTAACTTGACACAACAATGTATATTTACCTTAACTTGTGCACAGGGAAGTGTCTGGTGGTAATTGGTAATGAATGAATGAATGAAAAACTTTATTTAAGTGTCTATGTTTTTAGCTATAAGCTAATGGGGGACACAAAAAATTTAAAAGTCAAATACATTTACATATGTAGATGATAGTTATTTACAGTAGATAATTAAAAAGATTATTAAGTTTTTTAGTTAAGTTTTAAATTTCAACGAGAGTTGAAAGGTCGACTTTTTATTATGTTCTTCTTGAACGAATTTAGAGTTTCTATCGTTCTTAGGTGTCTTGGTAACTTCAACCAGATGAGAGGTCCCATATATTTAATAGAATTCCTACCAAATCTTACAGTTTTGAATCTTGGCAGTTCCAAGTCACTGTTCCGTAATTTATAACGAGTGTTCTTTATATTAAATAAGTCAGAAATATTCTCAGGTATGAGACTGTGCTTAACTTTAAACATCAAAGTGGCAATGTCTTGTAGGCGCGGATTGTTCAACGTCGGTAGTTTGGCGCGACTTAGCAGTTCTTGATAGGACGCTGATCTAGTTTTGTACACTGCCCTACACATCTTGACATATGAAGATTCAATTGAACAGAAATTCTGCGGTTTGGATAAATTTTCATTGTGAAAAATTATTCAAAACCACATTGGATCATCTCTTTTTTTGTGTCTTGATTTTGACAATCTTATCTTATTTCAAATTGTGTTTTATAGGACCAACCCTCTTGGTATGAAAGGGCACATTGCACGTCGGTATGGAGACCTTACTCAAGATTTGTGGAGTGGCAGCTCTCGCAGCCTAGCCCCACTAAAACTCAGGGTAAGTGTATTCATCCCAATATTTGAACTATTTATGTTAGATATTTTCTGTTACTTTATTAACTGAGTTTCAAATTGATAGTAATTTGACCAATGTTATTTGTCTCTTAGTGGACAATAGGAAGGTATGCTCCAAGATTTAATGGATTTCAGCAACATGACTCCCAGGTCAGAGGAGAGGCATTTTGTAAAATTAATATAGAATAGTAATTTTATCAGACATTCTATGATTTGCAATGATATTTTAGACACTGATCACTAAAAAGAGTGTAATTGCAGTAGCCCTTTTAACTGCCCTTTTACATCCAAAAAAAATATGGGCCAAATCACTGAATTTTGCCAAGAAGTTCTACAGCAAACAAGGATGCTAAATCTACCATTGATTTTCCACCCCCTTGCCTCTACTACACTTCTACTCTTAGCTGCTTGTGTCATGAAATTATTTTCTCTGAAATTCATACAGTAACTGTTTTAATGATTCACCTACATGTAGCAGTGTTGATTTTATACAATGTTGGTTGGAGAAATGTGATTTTATCAAGTCTTGTATTCTGATACCTATTATTTACTTTTCTTTGAAAGGAATTCTTGTCATTCCTCTTGGATGGTTTACATGAGGACTTGAACAGGTGTGTTCTACCTTCTTAGCTAAAATGAACCTTTTTCTGGACAAGATTGTGTAACATGTTTTTTTTTTCTTGGACAGTCGTGACATGTCTCTAGGAAGACTGAATAGTGATGTTTTTGTTTTCCCTAGAGTTCAGCTCAAACCATATGTTGAACTTAAGGACAGTGATGGCCGACCAGATGAAGAAGTAGCGCATGAGGTATCTGTAGAATGGATTTTTTTTTATAAAGCTAACAATCTTTTTTTTTAATACTAAAATTAATAGGCCATCCATGCCATTGTATACAAGAAAGGTTCAAGGAACAAGGAAGTACCAAACAAGTAAAAGATTGTCCTTCTTATGACTCTGTATCTTCAAGTGGCACTGGCAACAAGAGGGCCTCTATGGTACTCAGAGGGGACAAATTTTATGATTGTAATGGGGTCATTCATTTTGTTTAGACAAACTAATGTAACAGTATGAGGATGAGTTTTTCTTTTTTGTTTTAAAGAACAAAATTAATCCCATTGTGTTAAAATGTGCTTACATACAGAATATTGATTTTTGATTTGTTATTTTTTCAGGCCTGGGATAATCATCTAAAGAGGAATCAGTCAGTTGTAGTGGACCTGTTTCAAGGCCAAGTAAAATTTCAACCTTTTCTCTCCTTTTTTTTTTTTTTGCCTACAGAACTGCTATGCTTGCTGCCTCAAAATGTGATTTTAAACTCTCTCTTAATTTGAAATGTATTGGTTTTGCATTGAATCAGTTATTATGAGTGTCACATAAGTGATTGTCAGTGGTTAATTTTCAGCTCAAGTCTCAAGTCAGGTGTTTGGAGTGTGGCTATGTCAGTGTTAGGTTTGACCCATTCACATTCCTCTCCTTGCCTCTCCCTATGGACAACTCTATATATGTTGAAGTTATTGGTAAGTTTGTTTGTAACTCACAAGTTGGCTGTCACAGGTGCTGCAGCCAAGGCTGCCATGCTAACTGGTGAGCTTGGCAGCCAGCTCTTTTCTCCTAGCTTTTCTGCTTGTGCTGCAACATAATCTTATGAAATTTCAGTTTGGGCAAGGGAAAGTCATAGGAAATAATTCACACTTCTCTGAGAGAAGAAGAGCAAGAATTGCTTTGAGGGACTGATGGATTGCACGTTTTCTTGAGTTAACTTGACTTTTGATCCTTGGTTGAGGAAAACACACACACACACACACAAAAAAAGGAAGGGTTATGGAAACTCACAGAATTTTATAAGCTTGGAGGGGTACAAACCCTCTATTTCCAGTTGTGGCAACCCTTCTAACATGGTACTGCAACGGATGCTGAGCAGTAGCTGACTCATTCTTTGGTTGAATTTCTATTGTGTATAGTTGTTCAACTGGAGGGGAAAACCCCCAAAAAGTACGGATTGCTGTTGAATAATGATGACAGATACAAGGATGTGAAAAGAGAGCTGTCAAAATACTGTGGGCTGATTTGCTCTAAACTTCTCCTGGTTGAGATCTTTGGGGCATCTGTCAAGGTAGGTAGCATGAAACACTGTTTTGATTATTTTCCAGTTGATCCAGAAATTGCGGGTTTTTGTATTCTGTTAGTTTGCTTGTCTGTGAGTAGACCCAAGCTTCTCTTGGCAGATTCCTTCATCAATTCAAATCCACAAATTATGATGAAAATACACTTAGCTCCTTTTTCTTTTTGAGAAACCTGGCCCTAGTAAACCCTTTTTAAAAAATACACAGCCTTCCCCTAGGAGGGCTTCATGAATTTAACTTATGTCAAGATCTCACTCTTCTTTTACCCAAGACATCTAAAACTCAGAAAGTTAAAGATTTCAGAACTCCGTTGCAGCTGGCTCCTTATTTGTTTGAGTTTTGGCTGAAACCGCCATTGAACTGAGAAGAGTCTATACTTTTGTAGATGCAGTAAGTCAGAGTAGATTCAGGTTTAGGTTCCAGATAACAGTGAAGTTCTCCTGCTCAACAGAGTCTTCCATCAGATGTACAGAAGATTCGTACAGCGTTAGCTGGGATACTCTATGCTTATGAGATCCCACTTCCAACAATCACTTGTGAAAATGATTGTGGTGGACCCAATTCTACAGAGGAGGACAAGGTTGTATGTAATTCACCTACTGTAGCATCTGAGGAGCAGCAATTTTGTGTTACGAATCATGATACAAACTGCCAAAGAGATGGAACTGTTTTCAGCACTGTTTCAAACAATGAAGGAGTTGAGAGGAAGGGAAACAAATCTTCTGGAACAAACTCTGAAAACAGCTCGGAGGACAGTGAAACCCGGCTTCGAGTCAAAGAAGATTGGTTTGCAGATGGAAAAAAGAACAAAAAGAAAGTTTCTTCTAGTCCAATCAAGAGATTAAGTCCAAAACTGCGGAAAAAAATAAGCCCCAAGTTTGGGGCAGGATTTAGTTTGACTACAACGTTAAGGAAGTCTTCTTCATCTTCATCCTCAACAGAATTAGCTGAAGGGCATTTTAATACAAATTCTGATTCAGGCATCAGTTTAAGTGTGGAAAATTCTCCAAATCACCAAACTGTTTCTTCGCCTGGAAATGTTAATGCTGCTTCTGGACATTCTAGTGTTTCATCAACACCTGCAACAGGACCTGCACCATATTTGGGTTACTGTTTTAGCGGATTTGTTGTTGCAATGCACAGGAAAACAGTACGTTATTCGTTGTTTAGTTTGTCATTACTGAATCATTGCTGATCAGCATTTGTAGTTTTCTCTTAACATTTAATCACATTTGATACAATTTGCAAGGTTGTGAAGATGTTCTGCTTCCATTTTTCACAAATTCAATGTTGACAAAACGTTTCGCAGTGATGTACATGTACCTGAAAGTGCTCTGTCCCTGTGTTCAGGGCCACAAATTAGAACGACTCACGTTGCTATTCACTCAGCAGAAAGGCAGCAGTCAAGAGCGGAGTAGTAAAAGATTGATATTGTAGCACAAAATGATACATGCACTCAATCCGCTCACTCACTTTTTCTTTGTGTAGATTCGTTTAGATGCATATTTCCTTTCACCACAAAAGAATCGTCCTGGTTTGTTTGGAATCCCTATCGTTATACCATGCTCCTCTAAAACGAGGCAGTGTGAGTTGTATGAGGGAGTCTGGACTCAAGTGGCCAGGCTGCTCAGCCCACCAGCACCTGGAGATACAAACTGTAAGGATGGGTAAGTTGGTGTTTACTTCTGATCCAACAAGGTGTTGTATCTAAAGAAAGAAAGCCAATTTGATGTTTTCATCTGTATATAGCGATGCAGGGGACTATCCGTTTGAACTGCGGGCAGTTCAGAAGGACGGCCTTATGTGTGCTTGGTGTCCGTGGTACAGGTGAGCAGTCTTACTTTATTGTACCACCACATGATGTTTTTCTGCCGCTTTAGGTAATTCGTCAGATAAAAAAAATTGTCGAACATTTTTTTCAAACCTTACTTAAGTGTTCCCTATGAATGTCTGTTTCGAAAAATGCAATGGAAAAGATAGGTCATCGTGCTTGTTTTAAGAAATATGGTGAGCCAAACTTACCCCAATTATGCCTGCTTACACTAATCACGTGCGTCATTTCATCGGTTCACGGTATATTTTATATATTGTAAGAAATATACAACTTTTTTTAGAGACATGTTTCGGCATGCTTATGCCATCTTCAATCAATGAGTAACTGAACGTGAGTAATTATATAACAGACAAGTAGATGAATAAAATATTGACATCATACTGTAAATATTTTATTCATCA